TATATATATATATATATATATATATTTATGTGATTTTTTTTTTGGTAAAATTCACGATTCATACGTAAGAAAGCTTCATAATTACTCAATATTGCTTTAGATTTTTTCTTCTGCCCGTGGGTCTATTTTTATTTATTTATTCATGTGTTTGAACACAAATATCCAGAGAATTTACTACACTTAGCAATTAGCATCCTATTCAACTAACGAGGCTAAACCTTTTTAATTTCTCCTCGTAATCTATTTCTTTTTGTTATATAGAACTTATGACTTATACAATTAAATACGTACGAAATGTTTGATTGTTGAGACTTTTCTTAAACTTGAAATTAAATATATCGACTCAAATAAATATTAAATTCAAACTTTATCATTTACTTATACCATGGGAGTTATAAAGATAAAATAATCTAAAAAAACATGTTATAGATTATGAAAAAAAGGTTAAATATTTTTTCTCTTAAATTTAAAATTGATTTTTTAGTCATTGTAATCTGAAAAAAAAATTAACTCTTCTACTAAAATTTCATTAATGAATCTGTTAAATATTATAGCACAAAATTAACATAATAGTATTTTTGTTAGTGAAACATCATATTAATGTTGCATAATTATTTTGATTAATATTATATAATTGTCTCAATTTATCATTATTAATTATATTATTTGTGGCATGAGAAATTAAAACAATATTTTTTACAATTATAAAGATTAAAAAAATAAATTGTATTCACCAATAAAAGCTTCTTTTATGTAGAAACTGTGTTTATTTGATAATCTATATGTATTTTGACGCTTTAAAGATCTATTTGTGTAAGTTTAAAAAAAATTATTTTGTAATAACTTATTTTTTAAACTCTTTTCAAATGATAATTGAGAGCAAAAATTTCATTAAAAGAATTAGTCAAATTTTTGGATAAAAATTAATTATTGATAAAATTAGTGAATATTGTAGTAATAACATAATTATTAAGAAATATTGTTTTCAACATTTTTTTTTCTTTCATCCTTGTAAAAAAAAACTGTTTTCAACAATTAGTTTTTAATATAAAAAATTGGAACATATTTTCTCTGAAAAATTATATCATTATTATAAATGCTTTTAAGAATATTTTTAAAATAAAACATTTTCCATAAAATTTGAAGAAAAAAACACAAAGTTCTCTTTTAACAAAAAAAAATGACACTTTTATTGTATTTTTTTATTCATACGTATTTATTGTATAAATTCTGGAAAAAAAATCATCATGATTAAAAATATATTTAAAAAACCATTATAAACTATTTTTAAAATAAAATCAATTCATTATTATAACAATTCTATTCAAAGATTTTATATATATATATATATATATTTCACTGGCAGTGGTTACAAAGTTGCTGTAAAAATAAAAAAGCATTAGTTACAAGGTTCTAATTTTCTAAACAGTACTACTTGTTTGGTTTTAATTCCATTCACTTTAAGACATATTTAAACATCCAAAGTGAATGGTCAAATTAAACATATTCCCCTGCATGTAAGACTTTTTTTATACATAATCAGCAATGCAAGCTCAATGGTGCCCTCTGCTTTAATCACATACAGTTCTTAAAATAAATTCCATTTCCAGAAGAGTTTTTCAAAGTCCTTATTCTCTCACCAGCGAGAGAAGTGTGGAACTCGAACTGGGGAAGGCAAGGTACTACCGGTCCAGTACTGGCCACAAAACCAAACTGGGATCAAGAGTAACAAACCTCAATTATTCAAACTTTAGCTCACTAATTAATTCAGTGTTTCCAAACATGCCAAAAATTTAAACCATGTTAAATATAAAGGTCCTAAAACTACTTTTATATGTAACAATGCATGCAAACTGTCACAAATTTAAAGAAACATGATCACATTATCCCTTAATTAGCTTGTACCTACCCTTCAGTTTTACACATGAATTTAACATCATATTATCCTCCCAAAAAAGCAGAAAGCTAGAAACCTAGCTCATGAAATACCATCAGAAATCAGGAAAATATGTGGCTCCTTCAACAAGAAACATGAAAATGACTCCTGAATTTAAAATTGGAGCATATTATATATCGATCCATGAATGGTTTTGGTTGAGTGTCAAAGCAACACCCATCACCGAAAGTCAATGGCTATGACAAAACCCACCAAAATCCAATCAGATTCTTAAACCTTATAACCTCTGTCTTTTATTAAAATATGTGAGATATTATGCATATTAGCACAACAATTAACCCAAAATACTAATATAACTGCTGATCTTGTGGTACTTTGCCAAGAGTTCTTAAAACAAAAGACAATTCATTTAGAGCTTTTAAGTTTGCAATCTCTCTATGTAGGGTAACTAACAAATAGAGTATATACTCTGTAAAATTACATAAACAGGCAGAGATATATATAGTAATTAAACTTGAGGTTACATTATTAATTAAGATTATTTTAGTGTTAACCATATAGTGTAGCTCCATTATTTCATACGCACCTTGAATTCCAAAGGTGGGGAGAGAGTGGAAAGAACAGTCTCCATGTTGTGTGGAATTCTATTCAAAGACAACTGCGTGCTCACTGAAGGAAGCCTTTCTTTTACTTACAACAAAGGCTTCCAGTTATTGACTTCGGAGTTGAAATGGCTTCGAAATGAATCTTTATATATACATAAGAAGGGCATACTATTAACACATTTTCTACCACACTTTTTTTTATATATATATAATTTATTAATAAGTATAAATTTTTGTGTGGTCCAATGTATATTAAATGAATTTATTTGTGATTTTGTAATTTTTATAAAGTCTAGACCAATTACATAAATAAAGCGTGTTACAAGAAAAGTGTTATGCTAAAACCCATCTTATAAGTAATAAAGTTTCCAATAGTTTTCGCGGTCCCAAACCAGAGCAATTAAGTCATTTTCATGTCAATGTCAATATGTATAGTCAAAAAAAAAAAAAAGTTCACTACTTTGGATGTGTTTGTGAACAAGCTCAACTGAAATCGAAAAAAAAGTTACACTCATATACTTATATCTTTTTTATTGGAATGTGTTTATTATTTCGTTGAATGTGATTTTAAATTGATATCCAAATACACATAGTATGTTTATTGTTTCCTATGGTGGTTAAATAAATCTACACTCAATTTCATATCGTTAAGAAATATTTCTTTTATTTTATGATAAATATCGTCTTAAATTATTTTATACAAATTAATAAGAGTTAATAATAAATAAAAGAGAATAATTATTTTACAAAATTAATCTTATAATTAATCTTTTATGCTAGAAAGAATGCAATTTAATCCACTTTTTTTTTAGTGAATATTAAGATTTACGAGGAATATAAATAAAAAAATTAATTAATACAGTGAGGAAAAGACACACATTAGAATGAGGTTAAATAGTGTGTATCAAAATTTCACACATTTATGTAGTAAAAATAAAATAAATTATCAGACGAAATACTAGAGAAGAGTTAACTGAAGCACCAAAGATTTTTATATCATTTGTTTCAACTATCGAAATTACATCTAGTTTTCAATTCAACCAGATTGAGTTTCAGTAACTTTCACAAAGTTACAAATATTCTTTTACCAAGTCACTTCTCACTCAATTCTAAGTAGTCTTTGACTTGTCTCTTCAAACAATTACTCAAGTATTCTTTGAACAACAAGTCTCATAAGTCTCTTCATGTTCAACCCTTACAACAAGGGTAATGGATGATTACAAAATTGTTTCATCTCTTATAGATATGATGTAATCAACAATAAAAGCACAAGTAATTTACAAAGAAATATGTACAAGATTTATAATAAAATGTTTCTTTATAGTTTTGTATGCTTCTCTATACAAATTTCTTAATGTGTCTCACTTCTATCTCTTCTATTCTATATATGTTGCTTGTTTCGTTATTTAAAGACTCCGCCTTTTATAATAGCTTCAGAGAAGATGACCATTGCAGTAATTTTGAGTTGAACTCACAATTTGCTTCACGAGTTGCTTCATCTGTTGTTTATGCTGATTTTAGAGATTATCGTTGATGGATTCAATGCGAGCATTAAATGCCCTTTAATAAAATGTGTATCTCTTATTTGATCTAACAGGCTACTTATCATCATTTTCTTCTAAAGTGAGCATGGCAGAAGCAATGTCAACTTAAAGTAGTTGAAGTCGATGTAGAGCAATTTTTTGCAGAGCCTTTTTTGTGATATTCGAGATTTTACTTTTTGCTTCTGACAATTTTTTTTCCTTTTTTAACAAATTTTGAGATTTCTAAAGCTTCTTACTTGTTCGATATGTTAAGGAATAAAACATTTAATGAAACTTAATGTTAGTCTCACTTGAAAGTATATGTTTAATGCATAGAGACAAATTGTATGCTTCGTCTAATTTTCTTCATCTTATAGACGATATATATTTTTCACATTTCGTCTGATATAATATATCTTTGTAGCTATTTAACTTTGTTTCAAAGAAAATCTTTCATTTATTATCATTAAAACTTGAAGGATTCAAGATCCTTTTTTGACTTAACAAATACTCCCTCAATTTTTTATTGTTTGACGTTTAAAGTTATGCACAAGAATTAAAAAAATGATTGATATTTTAGTTTTTCAAAGTACTTGTTACTTATTTTCCTATTATACCCTTTAGGTTGTTGGAGAAGAAATATGTATATTAAAAATAAATAAACACATTGTGCAATAAACACACATTAATTATCAAGGGTAAAAATGAAAAAGAAAATTAATAAGTCATTGATTTTAGAAAAGTAACAATGAAAAATTAAAAAAAAATAGTGCTAAAACGACTATGAAAAAAAAGTGGAGGGAGCACTATATTAAAAAGTTAATATGACATTTATTTTGAAACTTTTTTTTTTCAAACGACATTTATTATAAGAAGAAGGAATTATAATTAATGAATGTGTCCCAAAAGTTCTTTAATATTAAAAGTATTTATAACATTTATTTATGAATAAATTAGATAACACAAAACTTAAGTACAATTCATTAAGTGTGGTTAATGTTATTCTCTAATCATTATTGAAGTTTTGCCTCAATATTATACATTTGTATTTAATGCAAGTCTCATTAATATACATTTACAGATACTATTAAGATAAAAAGTTAATTACCAATACATTGTCAGTGTAAAGTTTTTTTACACCGGTAACCAATTATATCTTTTAATTGTATCATGTCACTATTAAAAGTAAATGTGTTTACAGTGACATGGTACAATTAAAAAAATAATTAATTATCAATGTAAAAAAATTTTACATTAACAATACATAGGTGATTAATTTTAAGATAAAACTCTAACTATAATTAAAAAATACAACCAATCACATCTAAAGAACTATACCTAAAATTTATCCATTACATAAATACTATACTACATGATGTTTCATGAAATTATACACACTTATTTTTTAATTATTGCACTAATCTCTCTTTCATGAGGTCACAATGTAATATTTAAATTATGTCAACATTTTTTTTAACAATTAAAGGAGATTAGTGTAAGGAGGAAAAAGTAGGCTGCATGTGTGCAATCTTAATGAACATTTACATGAACTATTAAGATTGCCTATTAGTAAAAAAAATTGTAGTATACATAAAATTTACGTTCAAATCTTAATGTCATTATTGTTATTCTTACTTAAAAAAATGAGCATTTATATGATTTAATTTTTACTTATTTTTTGTAATTAACGTTTATAATTAACATTTTTATCAATATTTATAGACTAAATATTTATATATTGATGTATTTATTTATAATTCTAAATTCTAATTTTAATGATGAAATCATAATATCGTATTTTTATAATTTATCTATGCTTTTTTAATTCAAAAATAAAAATGTCAAAAATTTATCTAATCAATTTATCTTAGGTATTTAAATTAAAAAAATATTTATATCACTATATCATAACACATTTATATTATATTTATAAAAAAAATTATATTCCATGTTTCAGTTGTAGTGAAATAAAAAAAAAGTAATCTTTTAATACTGTCATTATTGTCATTTTTCTATATGAATATGGAATTTCTTTAAAATTATATGTACAGTTAGTAATAGTATTGCAATTTTGGTCTTTTGAAAATACCTACCTGTTAGCTGATTTAATTTAATAATGGTTTATAAGAAATATAAATAATATGATGATCTTAACTTATTTTATATAAAAAAATATTGTTTATAATTTTTTTTAAAATGAAATATTTAAATATTACTAAAGTGTTTCAGTTAATTCTTATTTATACGCTCTAATTTTAAATTAAGTAAGGCATGATCTATAACAATAACAATGTTTGAATATTATTGATATGGTTATATTATTAATTATTTAATACTTCATATTAAACTTTGAATAATTTATTTCTTATACTTTTTAATTATTTAATAATTATTATAAATATTATTATTGATATAGGTATTATTATTTCATGTATTAGGATACACACTTCAATTATCCCAGTTGTAGCGGGTCGGGTCTTGAGTCTCGGTCTTCTCGTTCCTATCCGGGTAGTCCGAAGCGAAGTGGGGGTGCCTGCAAAGACACTCCAATGCTCAAGTAAGTGCTTGGCGTAATAAATGCGGTAGGTGAAAAGTTAGTTACATACTTCGTTGGGGTCCTATTTATAGTGGCTCTTATTGGGCCGCAATTAAGGATTGGGCCCGAAAAATTAGGGAGCTAATTCGATGTATTATGTTAATTAAGCTCTTCGTAATCATCCTGGTAGAGGCGCGCGCTAAGCTTGGCCGGCCACACCGACGCGTTTTATTCACTTTAAGAGTGGTCGGCGGGATCGGGTATTCGGTCTAAGCGTTCACGGGTTCGGGTACTCGGCCAGGTCGGGGGGTTCGGGTATTACGAGTTTGTAGTAATTTTAAGAGTCCGATTCTTAATTATATTTTGCAAACATGTATCTTTTAGAAACAAAATTAACATCTTTTAATAATTTTTTTACATTATTTAATTTATGAAAATATATTTATTTACATTATTCAACTACTTTTATGTGCATGTATCTTATGGAAACAGAATAAACAATCTTTAGATAATTTATTTAATTATTTCTTATTTAGTTAAATTATAATAACAATTATATGATTCAAATGTAGAATTCAATACATATTACTTTAACTTTTTTATTATTAGATCGATTTTAGTAATTTTTTATTTAATTATTTAATATAAATAAGTTATTTATTTTTATGTATTTTATTTTGATGAGTTTATATTTATGTATTTGTAATTATAGCATGCGAAAGTAAAGTAATTAATTTTTTATTCACTAGGTAGGCTTAATTATAATGGAATTTAAGTGGTTTACCCAGTTTTAATTGAAAATTTATTGCCGTAATATCATTGATAATAAAGATTTGTTAATTTGTAGACATATCATTGACAACTTATCAAATTGATCAGAGCTTCATCAATGATAACTTGCAATTAAATATGACATTTAAACTGTTATTATTTCGTAAATAAAGGACACTATTTATCTCAAATAAGTTATGATTAATTTTTATATAATTGTCACAATGTTTACCAATTTACTTTATTTTGTAAAACATGTTTGTTAAAGAAAGAAACCAATAAAAAGTAGCCACGCAGTTTTACATGAGGACAAATGACAAAGAGTACGTGCCACTTGATAAGTGGATAGAAAGTTTTCAATAATATTGAAGAAAATATCATTTGTTTTTAACAAATATAAAAATGGCAAAACATTATTTATGTCGGGATCATTAATTAATAAACTGTGTTAGGTAAAGTGAAATTTATAGTTTTTAGGTACATGTTATTTAATTAAATGTACATTTTTATTATATTGTATCCATATTATGACCAGTACGTACACTGTTCATAAATTAAGCATATCCAACATTCTCAACAAAATTTATAATAGTTTTGCAAAAGTAGCAGATTAAATCATTTTTATTTTTTTTAAAGAGAAAATAGTCGCATATCAATAATATAATTTCTTTTACATTGTTATTCAATTACAACTTGTTATGTATAATAAATTTATTGTTACAAAAAACTACTTAAACATCATCAGTATTATAATTAGTGATTGATTTATGGTGTAAAACAATTTTTTTACTATTTTTGCATAATCAAATTTAATATCTTATTGAATAAATTTTATCTCATATAATTAACATCTTTTCTGACAATAAAAATATAGATGTCAAAATAAAAAAATACATTATATATATATATATATATATATATATATATG